AAAACTGCTTCACAAAAATACTCTTTTGCAATTAAAATATCAGTTCTTAGGTTTTCCTTTTAAGAATCAAGAGACAAATTTCTGCTTCCATAATGGAAGATATAGATAATTTGGACAATCAGTACCTCTGAGGACAAATAGAAAAGCTGCACAAAATATAAACATGTCCTCAAGGGTATTGGTAAGCTAAAAAGATAGTAAAGAAATGACTAGGCCAGGATGCAAGGGAAGACAGATGCCCAGAGGAGAGAGCTTAGTATCTGAGCAGAGGCCACTTCCTTCTGAACATTTGCTGATTCCAGAGAAAGCRGTTGGGAAGTTGAACACCACTTTGAAAGCCATTGGGGGAAGGGAAGCGAAAATCTAGAGCCCGTGGTTCTGTCATTGATGGTGGGGATCCTTGGTGAACCTGCCTATTTGGGGTTGGAAGTTCCAAAGGCTGTGCCCTAGGAGAGAGGTACACAGGAAAGAAAAAGAACCTTGCAGTGACAATGGCTAGGCTTCAAATATTTCATTTGTTAAATAACACTGAGATCAAGAAGAACTTGTCTCATTTTTTTGCTTTAAATTTCAAAATTAAAAAAATTCAGAATAAAATTGCTTTTATAATTACAGATAATACAAAAGATGCATTTGTAATGTCCTATACTTAACTAAACACTAAATGCTTTAACTAAGGAGGAATACAGTTTACATGTGTGAATAAAAATTAAATATATTTTATCCCATGAATCCCAGGAAGAATTCTACTTCTTACACTGAAAACCTCAAAGATTAATTCTATTCATTTATTTCACAAACCTAGAATTCAAAGTTCATCAAATGATACTAAATTTTATACTCTATAATATAAGTAATTTCACCCTAAACTGAACCTTAGATCAAAAATTCAAACAAAAACTCAAAGATCATTCATTCAAAACACTGAAAACAGGAATGGGCTGAAACAAGGTTTCACCAAAGAGTTTCACACCACAGAAGACTTCCTTTATCTTTTAACATCTCAGAGTTTCTGGAAAAACAAAATCACTTACAGATACTAAATTTTAATTATTTCTACTGTGGGTCCATTTTCATAAATAACTTAAAATTTAGAAAAAAATAGGGAAAAGCAAAAATAACCAATGTGTCTGTAACTATCAAATTACAACTTGATGAAATTGAAACATTATAAACGTTTAACTTTTCAAATTTTAGTTTATTTCAAACTTTGTATTATCTTTAAAACTACTTAATTTATAGTCATGCTTTACTATTTTTACTATATTTAAAAGTCTAAGCATTCCAAGGTAATGACCTCCATCAAACATTAACTATTCACTTCCTAATATTCATTTCTATATTTAGTCTTTGGTTTCCACCTATAATATTCTGAATAAAYGCTTACAAGTATAAGACTGAGGAATTTTAGGAAATGGGACTTTTCACCTTTAACTTTGGAAGGATGCCCAGATAGGGTTTTAACTGCTATAATTATAAAGGGTCTTAACAGAATCTATATCTACCCTTTAAACCAACTGATCCCCACCCTCAACAGGAAGGGAAGCAATGAAGATTTGGGATGGGTGGGGGAAAAGACACATGGTTCATAAGCACATAAACTAGCCAGCTGTCCTTCTCAGTAACAAAAACAAGAGTAGGATCACTACCTATGTCTCTCTAGGACACACTAGTTATTCTGCTTCCAACTGCTCTGAACATTCTCATTTAAGTATCTAAGTTTAAAAAAAAATAGATCAGGGACTTGGGGGGAAAGACAGTAAAATTTACAGAACTCTTCAAAGAAAAAAGCTTGGGCTCACATCCTAGTTCTGTGACTTTCCATGAGATTAAAGCAAGTGTTTTAACTTCTGTAAACTTTTTTTCTACTTCTTTTATAGGGCTGCTCTGAGATCAAATATGGAAATATGAAAAAATCTTATCAATAAAAATGCATCAAATAACTATAGGCCATGGTTTACTCTTGGGCCTAAACAGCTAGACCATCAGAGTAATCTGGTGTTCTCTCTCTCACTTGGGAATCTTTGAAATTAGAACAATCATTAGCTTGTTTGAAAGGTTTTTGTTTTGTTTTTTGTTTTGATACCAGGGATTTAAGGGGCATTTAACTAACCACTGAGCCACATACCCAGTCGATTTTTCTTTTTACKTTTTAAAAAATTATTATTTAGAGACAGGGTCTTGCTGAGTTGCTTAGAACCTCATTAAGTTGCTGAGGCTGGCTTTGAACTCAGAATCCTACATCAGCCTCCCTAGCTGCTGGGATTACAGGTATGCACCACCACACCCAGCTGTTTGAAAGTTTAACAGTGAGTTTTGGTAGAGACTTCTTAATTAAAAATTAATATCCATAGTTCACAAATTTCATTTGTATCCCAACATTCTACCCAAATTTTCTTCAGACATGCTTTCATCAYGGGCAATACTTACGCAGATCTGCCCTCCACATCTAGTTTGCCTGGACTGACTCCCTTTTTAGCAAGGATTGAGGATACTTTTTCTACATCCCCTCTCTCTGCAGCTTTCATCAACCGGTCATCATATTTATTCCAATCTGCTGCATGCTACAAAAAGGAAAAAAAAAAAAAAGAAACATGGCATAGTATATTAGTTAAGATTTTGTGGAGGAGGAAGGAAAAAAGAAGGGAAAGTGGTACTGCGTAAGACAATTCCTCCTTTTCCAACAGCATCCCAAACTTCCTTCTCTGTGCTGTGCTAACTTAAGTAGAACAGCAGTTACAAAACCTTCCCAGGACACAGGACATTCAAGTGTAGTTTACATTGTACTTTTGAGAAAAAGTATGCTTCTCATTTTCTCTGTCCTGTTCCCTTTGTCCTCAGGGAGAAAACAAGGAAATTAATAATTACTAAAAGCCACCCTGTGCCAGACATAAACGACCCCCAAAAACCCTAGTAAACTAAAATTATCTTCTCTACTTAACAGATGYGGAGAGTCAATGCTCTGGGGACATTAAATGGCTGAAGTCGCCAAGCCCAATCTTGACTTCTCCCAAATCAGTTGCTTTTCCTATTCCCCAATCACACTTTCAGATTTGGCTCCCAGGACTGTTAGCCATAGAATTCTGTATACATTTTAAGAAACCATATTCCTCTCCCACTTATTTAAAGGTACTGATAGAAATATATTTATTTCTATAAGGCAAATAATACACACACACACACACACACACACTCACACACACTCAATACAGAGAGAAACTTATTATGCTTATATATTAGGATAAAAAAAGAACTTCTACACCAAAAAAAAAAAAAACCTAGAAAGTCTCTAAAGTATTAATTTCTTAGAATCTAAAATAATAAAATTAGAAATGACTTTCATTTTCTTATTTACATTCAGTACATTTTAATTTTATAAAAAAAGATTTTTAATTTTAACAAAAATTCAATAYATGTTTTAAAAAGGAAGATCAAAAGTAGTTTTTTAGGGCTGGGGTTGTAGCTCAGTAGTTGAGTGAGGCACTGGGCCGAATCTGCAGCACCACGTAAATAAATAAATAAATAAATAAATAAATAAATAAGGATATTGTGCTCATCTACAACTCAAAAAACTTTTTTTAAAAAGGTAGTTTTTAAAAATAATATTTATTTGTATATATATTTAATTGTACTAAGATTTTATTTAGCTTTGATTTGAAGAAAGTTCATTTTAAGATATTATTCTCAGTAAGCAGAAATTAAAGAACACAGAAATTAAATACATGTTGTTTACACATTCAAGATTTTAACCTTTTAAAATATATATCAACTTCCTGCTTAATTCTGTGCTAAATCCAGTACTATTTCTAGAACAAAAAATATCTACACATTTTTCACATAACTTATAAAGCAAATCCTATGCTTACAAATATCATAACAAACCTCTGGGGGAAAGTTATTTACTCACAGATTCCCTAAATGTTTGTTTAATCAGCAAGATTATTTTATATCTAATATCCTCTGAACCACAAAAAGAAAAAAACACCAATTTTCTAGCTAAATATCAAAGTACTCATTAAAAATATTAAAATTGTGTATAAAAAGATAAATACATTAAAATTTTAACTCACTCTTGAAATTCAGTATTTTTATGGAACCTGGTTCAAGTACCTACAGACTTAATAATTGTCTTGAAATCTATAACAATATGAAGATTAACCCACTTCTTTCTAAATTCAGAAGTTAAAATTGACAATTATGAGTAGAGAGTAACACTATTTATTGGCTCAAAATCTAAGTTACATTTTAGGCACTACCTTTCTCTAGTGCAGATCAAAACAGTTTAGTGACTCTGATTTGAGGAATGGTAGTGGATGCAGACCTAAAAGACGCCACACTTTCAAATGCCTCAGGGATTAAGTCATATTTAACACACTTTCTCTGTATTGATTAGTTTATCCTCACAAATAACACAATCATTATTTCCAACTAGCTGGTGGAGCAAAAAGCTACATAATTCCAAAGGAAGGCTTTAAAAAAAAAAAACAACAATTAAACAGGATCAAAGTCTCACATGAGGATGTGATTTTCAGTCTACTTCATCAAGCTCCATTTTCAATTCTGGTCCAGTGTCAGTTAACAGTAATGCTGCTTAATGATTAAGATTCTATCATGTGCTTTTTTTAATCCAAGAAAACAAACAAGAACTTTTATTTTCTATCACTAATCCTAATGGCAAATCAGGAAGAAGAGTAATCCAACGAAAGCAAAATTAATAAAACAGCACATTTTAAAAGAACACAGTTCAGAAAGCCGAATGAGAACCTTTTGTTACACTGAACTACTAGGATACCTACTCTGTTCTTAGGAGCACAAGAAAACCAACAGCTCATCATAGACAGGATTTAGTTTCTTGTTGCTAACGGCAAACCACTCCGCATTAAGTTACAAATCTCTGCAGCTCACAAAGCAAGCCTTCACACAAACGCCTAATGAGTGGGGTGACTCAGTCCCTCACATGCTGTGCTACACTTAGCTTGGATCTCTAAGGATATTTTCTTCGTCTTCAGGATCCTTCTCCGCCTTCATAACGCTTGAAAATTATTTTCCTCACAGCGCAGCACTTGATTAACAGGAGCCTCAAGTCAGGTACTGTAACTCCTCCTATTTCTCGTTCTTTAGAGACTGTCTTTCAAAGTCCTCCCTTTCAAGGACCCCACTAGAAAACCTGAACAGTACTCTGCATCCTGCTGCTTTGAAACTGCAACAGAGACTCTGCAGTGCATGATAAAACTGTCCACATCCGAAAGGTCCAGTAAACAATGCAGAGACTGTCTCCCGTTGATGGAGTTCTATTTTAGATTCCATAGGACCTGACAGCTGAGTAATAGAAAGGAGCAGCTAAGAATATATTGTAAAGGCATGCTTTTCTTCTGAGTAATAAATTTCAGGTCTCCTGGGAAAATGACTCAAACATGTTGTAAAACATGCTTATTATATAAAAACAACTTGTGTGACATAATGACAACACTGTTAAGAGACAAATTTGGTTATCCTACAAAACAATATTTAAAACCAGTTTCAGTCTTAGGATCATCTATCATGGAGTTATAATAGCCTTGACAAACAGAATATAAAATTCTATTTAAAGCCAGTGTGTCACACTTTAATTTAAGGAAACACACACACTCACAGTAACACTTTCAAATTTCCTCCATTTTAGTACCCATACCAGTCTCATTCCGCATACAACCAAGTTTCAGCTTACAACTGCTGCCAGTCTGTCTCCTTGCATGTTAAATGAGAAGAGTCAGAGGAACTGCCAAGACATTAAATAGACTACATCATGATGAATACTTTTCAACAAATTTTAAATTTAACTCAGTACTCTTTAATTTCCAAGTTTAGCACCCTGCCTGTTATAACAAGTAAATATTTTATCAGTGGAAAGTCAAATTATCTGGATTTGGCAGATTAAAAAACAAATAAACTGATTAAACACTAAAGGAGGCATTAAATATTGAACTAGACCATAAATGAAATTCTGTTTGGGGACAAAGCAGAGGACTCCTCCACATTCTCTACAATACCTATACTTGTACCAACATTCCACACATTATCAAGTTGATACACCCACAAGTTCAGGATTCTTTTTTAAACCATGTTTTATTTACCACAATAGTATAAGAATAATTTGTACTTCCTCCAAAAAGGCACATTCAGGAAAAATGTTTCCTGGGAATGYAAAGCATTCCAACACAAGCATTTATAGGAAAGAGGTAACTGCTAGCCTATAAGATCATGTGCCTAGTACAAAATTCTGTTATGAACTTCAGCAAGAAATCCATTTCCTACTATTTAATTTTAAAACATTAGGTCCATTTTTAAATTTTAAAGTATATATGTATTACTTTCAGAACAATGATTTTCCCCCCTCAATCTATGAGCTATYACAATGGATTTATCTGAGTCAAGAAACTCCACCCAGCCTATTTAATCTTCTTCAGAGGAAATCTGGAATAGAACTCAGGTCTTATCCTTTGGTTAACAAAGCAAGTACATTCTTCTTGACATAGGACAGTATCAGCAAAAGAAATAAAAAGAAGGGGGAAATTTGTAAGGAGTAATTAAAGCCATAGAAGAAGCTGCCCATGCTCAAGAAGATAGGATGTGAGTGTCCTAGTGTACAGAGAAAGTCCCAATCCTCCCCACTCTGTGGCTCAGTCTCCAGTTCCTACTCTCACACACTCCTTCACTGCAGTTGCCAAGGAATCCTAAGCAAATCCCTGTTATTGCTGTCCCCTGTTGTCTTGAAGGTTCTTCCCTCACCTTCACTAAGGTTCTTCTCAAATGTCATTCTCTAAATAAATGCTTCTCAGATCTCTGTATCTAAGCAGCCCCCATCTGCTTGACCCCACCACTCTTTATCCTGTGCCACTGTACTTTCCTTCAAAATACTTAATAGCATCTGCCATTATATTCTCATTTACCTGTTTAGTATATAACTTACTGCCTATCTCCCTAGTACCTCTATAATTTGACTAGATATCTAAAGTCTTTTCTATGTCTATTTGAAATTATAAAGCTATTTTTTAAGAAAGTAATTTGGAGGGCTAGGGCTGGGACTCAGCAGTAGTAYACTTGCCTGGCATGCGTGAGGCACTGGGTTCAATTCTCAGCACCAYATATAACTAAATAAATCTAAAACTGTTTSAGGAACCCTCTTTCTCTTGGAAGACATTGCTAACAAGGTCAGATCTGGAACATATTTTTACTAGCAACACTGTTTCCCAGTAAACTGTCCACCTTCAGACAACAWGTAGGAAGCCCAAGAGTGGCTCAGCTGATTGCAACTGAATAGACCCTACAGCTTGTAGTCAATTAAAAATCCTTGGGGGTGSGGGGTGCTAGGGTCATAGCTCAGCCGTAGAGCGCTTGCCTAGCATATATGAGGCACTGGGTTCGGTCCTCAGYACCACATGTAAGTAAATAAAATAAAGGTATTTTWAAAAATCCTTCTAGACCCTTACCTCCTGTAAAATCTATGTCTCAAGTCTCTCTTCACCACTCTTCAAATCCCACTGGGCCCTTCAAAAAGTACCAAAAATAATAGAGTCAGGCAAACCTGGGTTCAGATTCTAGTTCTGCTATCTTCCCGCTGTGTACAAGSCTCAGTTGCCTCAAGTACAAAGAGAACCTATCTATATAAAGTCAAACAGGTAATACATAGGAAAGGTCAGCACTGTGCCTGGCAGATATTAATGTCCAAAAATTAATGTCCAAAARTTGGAAGGCATTGGTGATGGTCACAGAGCTCCTGCTCAGAGATGCTGAACAGAAGAAAATTCTTTTAAAAACTACCAAAGTAAAAAARAAAAAGAAAAAAACTTCAAGCACTTTTTCTGCCTTTCCTATGTTCCTATGTCAACTATGCCTGGGGGTAATTAAAATAGTTGATGAGGGTAAGTTTATATTTACAAAGGTATAATGGCCAATAAAAAAAAAGAATTAGAATTTCACCATTTTGTAATCCTTGTATAATCAATGGATCTAAGCAATGATCCTCAAAGACTGTTAACATCACTAAAAGATAAGTAGATCTTAGGTTCCTTTTATAATAGCATCAAACCCAGAATTTTAAAAGAAAACTTTTATCTAAACCTCTAACTACAAGAAATTCAAAGGACAGAGGAACATAATAAACTACAATACAAGGATGAATCAGAAAGTTCTATCACAGAGAAAATTGTGGTTTCTAAAAATACAAYAAGAAAAAAAGAGAAGTAGACCTATAGGTCAGGTACAGTGGCACATATCTATAATCCCAGTGACTAGGGAGGCTGAGGCAGGAGAACTTCAAGTTCAAGGCCAGCCTCAGCAACTTAGATTCTCAGCCATGATGTGAGAGGCTGTCTCAAAATAAAAAATAAAAAGGGCTGGGGATGTATCTTAGCAGTAGAATAATGATACCACCAAAAAAGAAAAAAGAAAAAAAAAGTGAACCTTTTTTTTTTTTTACTCCCTTGTTTATTAAATTTATTCCTAWGTATTTTAGGTTTTTTTGATGCTATTATAAAGGGAATTATTTTCTTAATTTTTTTCATATTATTCATTGTCAATGTATACAAATGCAACTAATTTGTGTAATTCCTATATAATTAAATGACCTCAGAAATATACCAATMAATCACTAGGCATGGAACTTAAGTACCTCAATTAACTATTTTAGAAAACATAGCTACTGACTGGATACTTGATGATATTAAAGAATTATAATAAATCAAGGGTTTGGTAATAATGTTACTATGATTTTTAATCCCTTTTTYAGGAAACATTTTTAGTTAAATGATAAGACATCTGGTATTTGCTTCAAAAATAATAAAAATAATCAGGGGGCAAACCAAATTCAACAGAACTTTTGAAGGATTATATACCCAAACTAAGCAGAATTTACTCCTGGAAGGCAAGGTGACTCAAGATGGGAAAACCAATCAGTGTAATACACCAAATTAACAGGATGAAGGACATCATCTCAATTGAAGCAGAAAAAGTATTTGACAAGATATGACTTCAAAGATAAAAATATTCAACAAACAGGAAGAGAAGGAAACTACCTCAATGTAATAAAGACCATATATGAAAAGTGCACTGCCAATGTCTTACACAGCTCTAGATGACTGAAGGCTTTCCCTATAAGATCAGATATGAAACAAGGCTGCCCACTCTAGTCTTCTATTCAATACAGTAGTCAGAGCAATTAGAAAGGAAGGAAGGAAAAGGAAAAGAAAGGGGCAGCTGAGGGAGGAGAGGGCTAAGGAGAGTAGGTGCAAAGAAAAGACATCCAAATTGGAAAGAGAGAAGTGAAATCGTCTCTGTTCACTGATGACATGTAGAAACCAAAAAAGTTCCAATCCTCACAAAAACAAGCCTGTTAGAATAAATTCTGCAAARTTGAGGAATACAAAAGCAACACACAAATTAGTTGCATTTGTATACATTGACAATGAATAATATAAAAAAAATTAAGAAAATAATTCCCTTTATAATAGCATCAAAAAACTAAAATACTTAAGAATAAATTTAATAAACAAGGGAGTAAAAAAATCKGTACACTGAAAACTACAAAACATTGCTGAAAAAAAATTAGAGAAGTCACAAATAAATGGGAAGATATCCTGTGTTCATGAACTTGGAAGACTTCATGTTGTTAAGATTTCAATACTTCCCAAGGTGATCTACAGATCAATTCAATATTCCAAATTCCAATGGCATTTTTTTTTTGCAGAAATTGAAAAATCCATCCTAAAATTCATGTGGAATTTCAAGGGACCACAAATAAGTAAATAATCTTGAAAAAGAAAAAAAAAAAAAGACCAAAGTTAGTCGTCTCATACTTCTTGATTTCAAATATACTACAAAGCCACAGTAATCAAAACAGTTTGGTATTGGTATAAAGACAGGTTATATATAGTCTGAAATAGAATAAATAGATAAACTTCATGTATACTTTCAAATGATCTTTGACAGCAGTGCTAAGATCACTCATTGGGTAAAGAATAGTCTCTTCAATGAATTCTACCAGGGAAACAGGATATCCACCTGCAAAAGAATGAAGCTGGACCCTTATTTTACAGAAGATACAAGAATTT